CCCCCATGTCGTTTGAGGCATTCTAGATTTCCGCTACCATCAATTAAAAGTGTTGCTGCATTTCGTCGTAAAGAGTGACCCGTGTATGCGCTTGCATCGTTTAAATTTAAATAACTAGCTACTTTTTGGGCTACTGCGCTGATCGAATGTATTCCCTGACGCTTCGGTAACACTTTCCATTTTGGTACTTGATAAAAAATTGCTTTTCTGTGAAATTTTCAGGCCGCAGTGATGCATACTTTTTATACGGTTTAATGTAGTTTTGACCAATTATCGTAAACGATCTAATTTGTCGTGTTTTACTGTCTGGGATTTTGATAATTATTACATTTTCTTTATCCTCAATGTCCACAGTCTTCATTTTTACCATTTCGTCGCATCGACAGGCGCCGGTAACCCCAATTAACAAAACAATCTGAAATATTTTTATAATTTAGTAGAGTATACTACATGCTTTACAATATAATTTTTTTTTACCTTTAATCCTAAATACAACTTATCTGGCGCTTCAAACAAAAATTTATCAAACTCGTCTTTAGTGAAAACTTTAGACTTCTTTGCAGTATATCCTTCGCTTGTTTTTTTTTTCAGAAAGGCACGTAACTTTAAATTTGCTTATATCTACATTTTTTCTAATAACTATCTCGGATTTTTTTATTTTTACTTTTTTTTATATTGATACTTTTTGTAATATGTTAGCAGCAGTTTTATATACCAAACTAATTTTATTTGGTGAGTGAACAAAATTGTTTTCTTTCTAGTTCAACTTTGTAAGATATTTTGTATTTTTTAGCAGCTCTTGATAATGATTGTAAACACAATTGAAAGCTCAAGTAAAAAATAGTTAACAAATAGCCCCTTTTATTGACTCCAACCCATCCAAAACAGTTTTATATTTTTTACAAACGAATCACAAGTACTTCTTTTTTCTTAGTGGTTAGTACAATGAAACTTAGAGCTAAGATTAAGATTATTACTAAAATGAATATCAAACTTACCAGTCTTCCGGGTTGAACCGCGTCGATATCCATTTTGCCGAGCTTTCGGCATCCTCTCTGATGCCTTCCTCAGGGCTTCCGAGGTCTCAGTCTCCCGAGCCCCAGACACTACTACATTGTTCACTGATCAGTGGTATTTGACGGTAAGGTTTTGGAAGTAAGGAGAATTCTGGCAACATCTTGTCTGGCAATTTTAGCTTGGTCGGAAGGGAGAAGAGAAATAGCTTCTTCAGCTTGACAAATAATTTTCTCTGTTGGTATGGAAAGAGGAGTGACAGAAGAATTGAAGCCTTTTGATAGAGCTTTGGTAGCAGAATCAGATATCTGAATATCTGAGAAATTGCGGACAATAGTAGAGGGTTGTTGATTCGAAATGGGCTGTGGATTTTGCTGAGAAATAAGTTGGTCCAGTTTGCGTTTCTGGGTTTGAGTTTTGTTGTCAGTAATGTGTTGGGCTTTTTGGTGAGAAAAACGATCGAAAGTGTCCCATAATAATGGGTGGATATGGAAAGAGTGAATGTCACTGTAGGTTTTAAGAAGTTGGGAATTTGTTGAATGTAAGTTGCGGCATGTGGAATGAATTGAGTTTCTAAGAAGCGAAAAACAGTTGCTCTAAGGATTTTGGAAATAGATAGTTTTATCAAAATAAAGCCATAATATATATTTTTATTTTACTTAAAACGCAAGATATACCTAAAAAATACGAAACGAAACCTATGTCAAAAAATAACCATGCTTTTTGTCTAATTAATTTAGTTCTTAAATTTTGCACATATCGACAACGTCGCAGAATATTTAATTGTACTCCTGTCTACTAATTTTCTATCGCTTATAGTAATTAAACATACAAGTGCTTGTTATATTCAATATGTTTGCTGTATATCTTTGGTACAATACTAAATATATTATACTAAATGTATAAAAAGATAACTAACAATTGCAGTTTGTAATTTATTACACACTTTGTGAAAATTTCACGAAAACCTTTGTCTATTTTTTCACATAAACTGTTTTATACCAGAGAGCAAAACAACTTGTGTTCACACCTTCACAAATACCATAGTAATGGGTGATAAAATACTTTTATAACATTAATTTTAATCATTTTATGACATATACAGTAACTTATGTATTTAATTATAAATTCCTTTGTTTTAAATTATTTAATATCAACCAATATTTCTCCCCCTGCATTTTCATGACAGCTTGGCCCAGAAATTTCATCAGAACCTGTCGACGGTGCGATAAAAAATGAAATTAAATTGTACCAATTCATTTAGGGCGGTTCTAAATATAATTTTGTATACCGCCAACTTCGTGCCGGAGTTTTTGAGGAACTCTCTAGCTTCCTACACTCCGAATGCGTGGGCGTAATTGGAGTTATCGGCAGTCTCCACTTGTTTTCGCTTAAAAAGAATAATTTGATGAGATGAACAGAGTTGTGCTTTTGGCTTTTAATAAAAAAAATGTGGGGGTTAGAGTAAAACTCTTGTTAAACATATTTTACATTAAGAGTCTTTTTATACTATTTTTGAGATTAAAATAAAATGAAATTAGGTAATAATATGCAGCAATATTGTTTAATATTTTTCATTGTTAATTTATGGAGACCAATACTCTGTTAAGAGGTTTTGTTAAGTTTTTAGATGACGGTAACAAACCAAGACGAAACTGTCGTTAAAAAAATCTGATCTGATCATTCACTATGATCAATATGCAAGTTAGTTCTATATACAAAATATTACAAAACACTTATCTAAGATTACATTCAGCAATATTCCTTAGGCCCTAATACATTATAATACTACTAGCTAACGTATACACTTTAGCCGCACTTTGCTCTGCTTTTTCACTTTCACTCACTTATAGCACTAACTCAAACGGCTTCGTTCTCATAAGTCTTCTTATCTGGTTGGCGTTGTCTAGAAGTTTGATGGCCTCGACATTCACGTGGTTGAAGAACCTTTGTTCATGACTCTCGGTAAACTTACTTATTGTCTGGATAACCGTATCCATCTGGAGGTCTCGATAAAGATCACAAGTACCATGGAGCATTAACGATCTCCCTTAATAATTTATTCTGATATCGTTGTATAATTTGGATGTTTCTTTCTTTTGTACAGCCCCATAGCTGAGTCCCATATGTCCATATCGGTTTAAAGACTTGCTTATACAATAAAAATTTGTTATAAGTAGACAGAATGGATTTTTTCCCATCAACCAGTACATCTTTCTGAACTTAATTTCTAATTCCTTTTTTTTCTTAATATGTGCTTTCCAACGTAGCTTGGAATTTAATGTCATACCCAAATATTTTGCCGTATTTGCATAAGGTATTTAGTTTCTATTTATACTAACTGGGATATGTTGTTCTCTACTGTTAGTAAAATTGACATGAACAGATTTTGTTTCATTCAATTTGATACTCCATTGCCTGGTCCAGATGCTAATTTGTTCAACAGAGTTGTGTAGCGTGGTTGCTGCATCCTTGTGGTTTTGTCCGACTGCTAGAATGCATGTATCGTTTGCAAATGTCGCAATTGTATTAGGTATTAATGATGGATTATCGCTGGTATAGAGCAGGTATAGCACTGGCCTCAGGACACTTCCTTGTGAAACTCCAGCTTTAACTTCTCTTAATTCTGAATATGCTTTCTCATATTTTACTCAAAAGTATCTGTGGATATATATGATTCTTCTTCTTCTTCTTCTTAGCCTTCTATCGTCCATGTTTGGACATAGGCCTCTCCCAACTCCTTTCATAGGTCTCTATCCTGAGCAACATATTTTCAATTTGTTCCGGCTATTCTTTTAATGTCATCAACCCATCCCATCTTTGGTCTTCCTCTTGGTCGTTTACTTTCGTAAGGTCTCCAATGTTGTATTCTAGTATTCCAACTTTGGTCTTTTTGTCTAGAAGTGTGGCCCGCGAAGCTCCATTTAAGTTTGACAATTTTTGTTGTTATGTCCTCGACTTTTGTTTTTGATCTTACCCAGTCGTTCCTTTTTATCTGACAGTCGTACACCTAACATTGCTCTTTCCATTGTTCTTTCTGTTGTGGCTAGTTTATTTATGTTTGCCTTGGTTAGGGTCCAGGTTTGACATCCATATGTCATGATAGGAAGGATGCATTGGTTGAACATTTTGCTCCTTAAGTATTGGGGTATTTTACAGTTCTTAAGTATCCAACTAAGTTTTCCAAATCCTGCCCATGCTAGTCTTGCTCTTCTAGTCATTTCCGCACTTTGGTTCTCTTTGTCAAGTTTCTGGATTTGCCCTAGGTAGATATATTCCTGGACTTCTTCTATCTCAATGCCTTTATAGTTATACGTCTGGGGTCGTCTGTGTTTGTCATTATTTTTGTTTTTTTCGTATTGATTTTTAGGCCGACGTATTGGGACCTCCAACGAGATGGACAAATGACGTAAAAAGAGTGACTACAAATTGGATTCAGATGGCGCAAAATCGGACTAAGTGGAAAAGCATGCGAGAGGCCTATGTTCAGCAGTGGACGTTAGAGGCTAGTTGATGATGATGATGATGTATTGGGAGCTGCCTAGTTTCCCCATCATAATTTGCAGTTCCTCGAATGTGCTCGCTATAATCACTATGTCGTCAGCGGATCTGAGGTGGTTTAACTTGTTGCCATTAACGCTGATGCCATAGGTTGACCAATTTGTAATTTTGAAGACGTCTTCTAGGGCTAGGTTGAAAAGCTTTAGGGATATTACGTCTCCTTGTCTCACTCCTCTCTTAATGGGATGGGATTTGTATTTTCGTCTAGTTGTACTAACATAGTTGCATTTTCACATATATTATGTATTAGTTGCCCATATCTCGAATCTATTCTACAATTATTAATAGCTTGTTCTATAGTTCACATCTCGATACTATCAAACGACTTTTCATAGTCGACGAAGGCAAGCAATTCGGGTAGTTGGTATTCATTTGCCTTCTCTATCAATGTTCTCATTGTAAGCAGATGGTCTGATGTACTATATCCTTTGCGGAAGCCAGCTTGTTCAACCGGTTGGTAATTGTTCATCTTGTAGGTCAACCGGTTGTTAATAATTCTCATAAATAGTTTGTATACTTGACTGAGCAACGATATAGGTCTATAATTCTGTAGATCACATTTGGCCCCTTTTTTGTGTAAGAGTATTACTAGACTCTCGTTCCAGTCTGTAGGAATCTTGCTATTATGAAGACACCATTCGGAAGTGCTCTTCATTTGTTCTTAGTTTAAAGGCATCTATCCCGTTGTTTTTCTTTTAATCTTTTTTCTCTCTTATTTTATGTTAATATTTATTTTTGCTTTAACTATACGATGGTCACTACCCGTTGTTACGTTGTTTTTTGTTGTAACGTCTTCAAATATTCCTTTGTTGTTTGAGAGAAAATAGTCTATTTCATTTTTGTAGTTCCATTAGGTGCGACCCATGTCCACTTTCTGTTAGGATTCTTTAGGATATATAATTCTAGTCATCATCAATCAGCCAATCGCGTCCACTGCTGGACATAGGCCTCCCTCAGTTCTTTCCAGTGTTCCTCTACACTGGGCCGCTTGTAGCCAGTTTCCCGCTACACGTTTAATGTCATCGGTCCATCTAGTCGGTGGTCGTCCTCGGCTTCTTTTTCCTCGGTTTGCAGATAATGTTTTATGGCAGATAACTTACATGATACAGTTTCTATGATGCATTCACTTAAAAGTCTGTCTGAAAGAGCAGGATTAAAGATAAACTTTGAGAAAACTAAACTTATAACAAATCTCGTAATGAGTGGAAATATAACTATTGACAATAATACCATACAACAAACAGATACTTACAAATATCTGGGACACGAAATCAAAATAAGCAGAGACAATCAAACACATGAAATACAGAGGCGAGTATGCCTAACATGGGCAGCATTGGCAAATTAAGCCATATTCTAAAAAGTTCAATTCCCATGTGTCTCAAGCGAAAGGTTTATAACCAATGTGTTTTGCCTGCACAAACTTATAGAGCAGAGACTTTAACACTCACGCAAAAATCTGCGAATAAACTCAGAGTTACACAACGAGCTATGGAACGTGCAATGCTGAACGTGAGTCTTTGAGACGACATAACAAACCAACAAATCAGGCAAAGATCAGAAGTTCAATACGTCATCGAAAGAACCACATATGAAGAAGCTTCTTGTGGAGGTTTTCCTGGTTTTAGTGTCATCATAATTTCTGCCATCTTCCATATCTTTGGTACGTAACTCAGTCTAAAGGAAGTGTTTATAATGTGTTAATTTTATTATAGCTTCCCTTGGAAGTTGCTTTAACACTTTCCCAGTAATTAGATCAAATCTAGGAACAACTTTGGGATTTATATTTTCTTTTATTTCCAAATATACTTCTTTTGGAGTTACAGGGCTAATATCCATTTCATCTTGATCAGGGAGTTCCCAGTTAATTATTTCTTGTTCTGTATTTGGTTGAAAAGTATATTCTAGGTGGTCTGCAAATATAATATTACAAATGAAACAATAACTTGTGAAATATATTGTTATGATATGTAAAATCGAGAAAAATATTGGTTTGCTTAAAATATTTCAAAGTTCAAAAAATTAAAATAATTCAGATAAGTAAAATAATAAACAACAAACATTTCGAAGAATGAAAGTCTTTTGTCTTTGGATTACCTATATTGAACAAAACGTAAGATATGCATAAATTATTTTCTTTGTTAAAATATATTTGTGTGACGTGAATAAGCTGAAGTGAAATCCTAGACAATGGAAGCGGGTTTTCCAAATAAATTTGTGCAGTAATTAGGACAATAGAATAGATTTTAGAAAGATATGTTTTTGTTAGTTCTTAAGAATTGGTAGAAAAAGATTAGTTTATAAATAATGTTCGGAAATTTTATAATTGTAGGTAAAAATTTGTTTGTGTTATCGAAATGAAGAAATGGGAGATGTATGACGCGTTTTGATTGGATGAGAGTGAAAAAGGTGGGATGGTTGGTTTGAGAATGAGACTTTAGTTAGTTTTTGAAGAAAAAAATATAGTCAGTTGGTTTTCCAAGGGTGCAAGGCGAACGGCCGTTGTTCTCGGGTAGTTTCCCAGAGGTAGGAAGCAGTAGCAGTGAAAGTTTGTGAGTTTTCGTGTAGTTAGTGTATCTGACAGAAGCTGATCCAGTAAAAGATTGTAAGTCATATTTTTCTACTTATATTCCAAGAGTCACTGTTCAGGCCAACGAGAGATTCAGTTTATCGTAAAGAGAAGATATTCCAAGAGTCATTTTTCACTCAGGCCAACGAGAGATTCAGTTTATCGAGAGGAGAAGAGGCTAGCATAATTTGAACGATTCGTGCATTTGAAGGAGATCATTAAGGACGATAAACTTGCAACAATTTGTTGTAAGATTGCTGATTACCTAGGGAGCTGCTAAGAATAGATAGTATAGGCTACAAGGAACAAGGATTTGGACCACTCATCATCATAGAGAGATAGTTTTGTTTTTCTGCAGTTTTTCTTTTATTGATAACACAATTTTTACAATTACTTTAGAAAAGATATAAATATTTTGATTAGGAGATTTAGAATAATAATTGGGATTTTGAGATTTTAACTAATATTGTTTGTACCATTAATTTTGAAGGTTCACGTACGTAGAACAAAATTTTGAGAATCATTATATGAGATATTGTTTATTGAAAACATTTGAGTGTGAATTTTATTTCATTATTTTTATTTCAATATATAATGTTATATCATATGTGTTTTTTATTATTCCGGTATTCTTTGGACCTTACCTTTCACATGTAAAGCATAGATATTGAAGCACGAATATAACCCTGAGATAAGAGAATTAAAAAGTGTGATAGAATCATAATCATATCATTTAAATAATTTTAATTAATTAATTAATTAATTAGCTAATTAATTGCTTGGCGCACTAAGACTTTGAATATCACAATAATATATTTTTAAATAATTTAATTCAACGTCGAAATCAAATCGTGACAATATATATTATGTCAAATATATTATCTTTAATTATATTTGTGGTGAATTCCCAGAAAATATAATTATAAATAGTAATTAGGCCAACCAAAACGGAAGAAATTGTTTTTGGAGAGACAATAGTAACTTCCGTACCCGCAAAACAACAAAACAAATTAAACAATTGATTTAATTCATAAACTCAAGCTCACAAAGAGCACGCCAGCAGCGTCTCCTACTAGAACGTCGGTAGACGGTCTCTTAGCATATAATTAGACTCATCATATTCATTTACACAATAAATAGCGTCGCTGTCGTTGTTTCATAACGGTCTTATTGAAGCATCGAGATCAAAGCAGATGCCAGAGGTAACGAAGTGATGGGAGATAGTGCGGAGACAAATAGCGTGATGCATGGGTTGGTGCTAAACGAGCTATGGGCTGTCGTTCCGGATATAGTTGGCCAATTAGGTCAAAAGTGTCAGAATCCAATATTATTAACTCATCAGCATCGCTAATATCATTTATTTATTTACTTTTTATGTCATCTTGTATAACTAAGTTAAGGTAACTCATGAATACGATTTTAGTACAATATTTTGAGGTTATAACTGATGATTAATTGGTCAAAATGTTTTATAAGTCCATTATAGTCCATTTCCATCATATTGATAGCACATTATGTATGCAAATCCCTAAACTGTTGATACGGGTGACTCAATGAAAAATAGATATTTGTCAACAAGTTTACAGAAGTATATAGGAAAACAATTTTAAATTGAGTATGACCACCAGGTATAAAGGTTGAAGCAGAATAGAATACAATAGTTTTGAGGGTTACTAATCCCTAAATAAAGTTGCCAGTGTCGGAGTGATGGAGATTAACAGGTACTAATGAATTTGCAAGAAATGTAAGATGTTTATTTTATTGGTTATATATAAAATAATTTGTGGCCGTAACAGGGGCCGATTTGTAAAAAAATGAATATTATTTTAATCAAATTCCATTTCAGATTCACTGCTTTCTTCAGAATCTAAGGAAACTCCAATGTTAATTATTACCGGTTCCAACATTGCATCAGTCATATTATCCAAATTCCACATTTTATTTTCTTCCTTGTGAGCATGACTAACAGCATTTTTCCAATTTTCTGGAGTTACTTTTGATAAGAAATGTTCTAATAATTGTTGTAAGTCTTCTAATTTAAAAGTTTTGTTGTTGCGTCCGACTTCACCCTTTACTTGAGACCATATATTTTCTATCGGATTCAGATCACAGTGGTATGGGGGTAAACGTAAAATAATTACATCACGGTTTAATGCCATTTCATCAATTATATACTTTTTATAAGCTGCTTTATGTTGCCTTACAATAGGTAATAATTCCTTTTTTGTCGAATTCTCCTTGTACTCAATTGCGTGTTTATCCAACCATTCGATTATCTCTCCTTTTTTCCATGCTGTTGTTGGCAATTTTTTCTGCTAGTCTTGAATGGTAACTAGCATTATTCATGACTATGACAGAATTTTTCGGAATTAAATCCAACATTTGCTCAAAATATTCTTCAAAAACGTCAGCAGTCATTTCCTCGTGGTAATCTTTGGTTGATTTTGAGGCAAAACTTAATAATCCACCATTGACAAAACCGTATTCGTTTCCAATATGGGTTATTATGAGTCTGCGTCCTTTTCCAACGGCAATATTGTTTATTCCAGTAGATAAACCTTCGATGAATGCCTGACGGGAACTTTTCACATTTGTATCAACCCATAGATATGGTACAGTATGACCTTCATTTAGCCAAGTCTCGTCCAATTAAAAAATTGTTTTCCCTTCTTCTCGGTACTCCACTCTTCTTGGGAAATGAAACAGTTCCTCCTTTGGGTTTCCAGCTATCCAGCAATATGGGCTATCCAGCAAGCGTAGAATGTGGATAGCCCATATTTGACGAAATGCCCCTGAAGATGCTATATTAAGCGAAAATACTTGGGCAAGATTTGATTAAACTTGTGCTCGATATAATTGCCTTAATTTTCAAAGTTCATTTATTCGAGCATTCAACCTCATATCAAATAAAGTAATAATGTTAGCAGTTAAAGATTCGCACCACCCCTATTTCTTATCATACAATTTCAGTTAGACTACTAATTGCCTACCAATATTTTCAAAGAAATATATCAATTGCAACTTCTGATATGGAAAACCCAATCAAATATAGAACAAGGGAATATGAGCTCTAACATCATAATACTTTAGTGATATTATCGTTATAATTTTAATATTTTTTTAAGTAAGAAGTAGTGTTATCTAGTAGCATTGTTTAAAAAAAGACACATTCTTTTTTAAACAATGATGGTAGTATTATATTAATAGGTAAATACAAAGTTTGAGAAGATATGATTCAATATCTTTTCTAAGAAATATATAACCGGAGCGAATTTCCCTCTGCCCCTTTTCTGTGGGGTATTAAAATCTGATCCCGGGAGCGAAAATAGTATACACTCGTTTTACACCTACATAGAAATGTGAAGTGTTAAGTATAAGTGTTAAGTATAACTGTATAAATTTTTTATAATAATGATTTAATAAAAGCATGGAGATACGAGATTTGCTAAAATTTTATAGGTTATGTCAGCTTGTTAAGTAAATGGAGTTAAGAGTTTTGCATTAATTCCAAGTAGGCATACTACACAAAATTTTGTAAAATAATTTCAATTAAGTAAAATATTGTGGATAAATAAATTTGTAGATACAAAGGACCCTACGGTAGGTCATATGCCTACAGTTTATTTCGGAGGTACAGTTGAGGTTCCCCAAACCCAATTGTACTAAATTTGGTTTGTATGTTTTCAGAACATCGAGAGGCCAAAGGCTGCTAAATATGGCACTACAACAAAGCATTCCTAAAACTCAGTCAAACAATAATAGTGAACAGCTTACAGAAAACAATAGCAGGTCATTCGGAACATGAAAATGTTGATTCTACTGATGTAAAGTGTACTGTTAATACCCAAAGAGTATAAACATTGGCGCAATAGCACCAATAATAATTAATGCACCCCCGGAAGAAGAGGAAAGAGAAATGTTTGTTGACCCCAATGATGGTTTTTTATTCACCTTGCCCTCAGACGATATGAGTTTCATGCTGAATCTTGAAAATGTAACAGTTACCGAATCTCTTCAAACAAGCAATTTTCCTAATGGGATAAGCAGTTCACTGGATAAAATCTTACATAAATTGGAAGACTCAACTCTAAATATTGGCAACAAAACAGTTGAGCAGTTGGAGAATTACGAATATATTACACCTAATCAAACTGAACCTTGTATTGAAAATCTATTGTATTGTAAAACTTTCTGCTATAGTTTATTTTTATGAACGAGAGAGTAATTAGCATAATTTTAACTGGTACCTCCGACCACTCCATGGGCGTGCTCAAGATTAATTGAAAAATTACTTTGAATAATTGTAAAAAATAAATGAATTATTTCAGTGTTATAAAGTGTTATGTGTATGTAAACAAAAGTGACCTCTTTTATCACACACTATATTAGAACTGACTGGCCTACATTAAAAAGGGTTTTAAAAAATTCACATTTTTTTTAATTTTTAAAAATTACAAAAGAGAAAAAGAGTTTTTAAAACCGTCTAAGGTATGTTAAATAGATGAATAAAAATATTAATATAAAACTTACAGCTACTTGTTACAAATCCAAATCAGATTCAGAAGATGAACTTTCAGAACCAAGATTTATAATAACTGGCTCGATCATTTTATCAGTAATATTGTCCAGCTTCCACATTTTTTCCTCTTCTTTAATAGTGTGATTTACTGCCTTTTCCCAGTTTTCAGGTTTTACATTATTTACGGCCTCCAAAAACAACTGTTTAACATCATGAATTTTAAAAGTGGTATTTTTTCTTGAAACTTCACTCTTTATCTGTGCCCATACCAGTTCAATCGGGTTTAATTCACAATGATATGGTGGGGATCTAAGTACTGTCATTCCACGATTTTTGGCAATTTCATCAATTTCGTATTTTTTAAATTTTTCTTTATGAAGGGCACACAACGAATAAAGTTCCTTTCTTATAGATCCGGGATGGTACGTAATATTTTTTGAACTCAGCCAATTCTGCAAGTCTTTTTTTAACCACTTGGTTGTGGGCAGTCCTTCTATAAGTCTGGAGTGATAACTTGCATTATCCATTACTATTACACAGTTCTTAGGAAGAAGATCTATCATTTGTTCGAACCATTCTTGAAAGACATCAGCGTTCATGTCTTCATGGTAGTCACCGGTACGAGTTGATTCAAAAGTTAATAAACCACCTTCAACAAAACCGTCTGAACTGCCAATGTGTACTATTATCAGCCTGCGTCCCTTTCCTGATGGTGGGTTTAAACCAGTAGATAAGTTATTTACAAAAGCGTGCCTTTGACTTGTAACAGTTTCATCCTGCCAAAATTTATTTGGTGTATGACCCTCGTTGATCCATGTTTCATCAAGATAAAATATTTTTCTTTTTTGGTTTCTCATTTCCTTTATGGTTCTTAGAAAATGTCTTCTCCATATGACAATATCGCTTCTTTCTAATAAAATAGACTTTCTGGGATTCTTTTTCCAGCGGAAGCCTATTTCTTTTAAAAGTTTCCATAACGTACTTCGACTCATTTCTGGGTAATCCTTATCATCTCGAACTGAGACAAGAACTTTATCCAATGTTGGAAATTCTTGTCTAAAGAAGAATTCATGCACTTTCCGTCGAAGTCCTTCTTTAAAATGATATTCTATTTGAAATTTTGGTTTCCCTGGAGCATTACGTGGCATTTGAAAACTACCACATTTCTCTTCTTTAATAACTCTGTAAATCGTAGATTTCCCAACACCAAGTGTACTGCTAACTAACTCAACGGTCTCATCAACACTTTCACATAAACGTTTGTCTGTAAATGATTTAAAACAATTAAATATTAATGTTTTTTCATTAACTGTTAAAGGACCAATTTTTCGGCGTTTACACGGCACTTCCAAATTTTCCATAACACTAGTATACACAATAAACTGCACCTTGCAACTGAAGTACCTACTTTTAGTGAACTGTTAAGAATTTTGAATACGCCACTTGGACCTTCCTACAAAATGGAAAAACCCACTATCACATTTTCTGTGGAATAAGTTTAGAAGGTAATTATCTAGTCAATTACTGTCGTAGATTCCTGGAATTAAAGAATTAAATGTTTGATTGTTGAAACCCTTACTTCGTGGAATGCACTCATTTCAGATAAAATAAAACGTTTTATTTTATCTAAAGAATTAAACTTTATTTTGCAAATAGGTAGGTACTTATTAAACTTTTATTGGTTATATATAACCAATAAAATAAACATCTTACATTTCTTGCAAATTCATTAGTACCTGTTAACCTCCATCACTCCGACACTGGCAACCTTATTTAGGGATTAGTAACCCTCACAACTATTGTATTCTATTCTGCTCCAACCTTTATACCTGGTGGTCATACTCAATTTAAAATTGTTTTCCTATATACTTCTGTAAACTTGTTGACAAATATCTGTTTTTCATTGAGTCACCCGTATCAACAGTTTAGGGATTTGCATACATAATTTATTGTTTTATTACTCTCTCATACATAAAAATACACTATAGTGTTATTTGTAATTTTATTTAGTTTATTTGTTCATCACTTTGGTTGTTAATTTTAGTGTTGTTTTTAATAAATTTATTCATCTGTAATTTTCCGGTTCCTATTTGTTCCCTCTTTGAAGAGGGTATAAAAACTAAAATTTATATGAAATAATAATTTTATTATGAAAATACGTATCTTGTAGAATATACCAAATTAACTATTAATTCCAACTACAGTTACAGCTGCTGTTGCTCTTATTTAAGAGAAAACGAAATAAATTTACGTAGCTATCAGATTGGTTATTTCCATATTTTATATAAGAATTAGTTGACCCTCAAAATCGTAAAGCATTTTTCTCAATAATTTGTTTTAAATTAAAGCAATAAATACGTTTTTGTGAAATAACGTTTTCTTTAAAGTTTAACGAGCTGCAGCCGTATTATCGATAAAGCCAGCTTAATATAACATTTTGTTATAGAGCTTCGTGTGAGCGAGGACTTGATCCAATCTAGGCGTCAATTTTCTCTACAAAGAGACTTGTATATCCTGCCGCTAGTTTCAAAGCGACTCCCAAAGAGGCGCCGGAATGGAAAGTAACTGGAAACTTGCCTTCGGCACGGAACAATAATGGAACATCTTCCTGTGATTTCGTCATTAAGTAGCCAAATCCAGAGAAATACGACCTAATGGAAGTTCCTGTAAATCAACTGCCAACTTCTGGTTTGCCACAGCTGGAACGGTTCCCAGATGATTGTGGTTTAGAAAACTCTCCGAAAGGGAGAGTCCTTTGCACTTCAACTTGGAGTGAAAGCAGTGGCAGAATCAAACTAGGGTCTTTAAAATATATATTTTTTTATATTTTCAAATTTTAAATAATTTAATGAGTTTCTAAATTTTTTTCTGTGAAAATTTCTTCCAAGAAAATATTTAATACAATAAATCGCAAATGAAATTATAGTTTACTAGTGTAGAGAAACAGACGTCTTTAGATTTGCTCCGTAATATCACCCGTAATAATAAGGTTGTGAGGAAGTTATGTATATTTAGTAGTAAGTGGCAACAAAAATATTGAATATACAAAGAAGGTTGCGTTTCGATTTAATTTGAGTCTCTTACCACTCCCTGACACGTGTTTCTGGGTCTACCCGTCATCAGAAGGAGTTTGTAAGAAGACTCAAACTAAATCAAAACGCACCGACTACTCTGGCAATTACAGGAAAATAACTACCAGAGTATGCTACTAGAGACCTCTAGTGAGGAAAGATGAAGTTAAATACGTCGATAGCAATTAAAGTAAACTGTATACCCAAGCTTAATCAAGCCATTCAGAGCGGTGCTGGGAATAATTATATTCCACTATGCACCAACAATTTACCCATATAAATTACCATCATTCTTGTACTCATTGCGTCGAGTAAGGACGATAAATATACGAAGAAAATTGCGTTTCGAAAAATATTGAAATTAAAACTGTACGTACACGACCCTACATTTTATTTGCTGCATTGTGTTCTCACAGCACTCGATTGTGCATGACTGCGAGCACAACGTGTTTTATTATTCGGAACATATTCAACATAGTGATTACTGTGATCGTAACTAATATCGACAGTAATCCTGCTTTCAGGTAAAGATGTGGATGCTCTTCCAGCAGCTCTAAGTAGGTTTTAAAACCTTTTTAAATATAATTGTGCTATGTTTCTTCGAAAATTTAATTGGGGTGCAATTGGGTGATGTTTTCGATATATTGTAACCGCTTTGCGTTATTACCTTATGTTATTCGTGGATTAAGTCATAGATGAAAGACTCTACGCTTCCGAACAAACGATAACATTTTTGTTTTTTTTATTGCGTATCTATAAACACATTTGTGTTTGTATAGTATTGTTAGCGTGAGTCTAAGGTCTCCTAACATTACACAGTAAATTATTTGTTTGTATCTTGATGACAACCCTAGTGTGTTTTATTCTTTTATCGTTTGTGAAGTTTCAAATGATAATATCTTAATTATGTTATTTCAGTTGAATGAGAGATTTGGTCTCAAATGATGATTAGTATATATACTTTGTTTTATTTCGCTTTGTTTATGATATTGGTCGTAGGTGAAATACCCTATGCATTTCGAGAGTGAGAATGCGATTACTTTTTTTGTTATATATTTTTTTAGTTGAGTCATAAATATTCTATGCGTTTTGTTTCGGTTTGTTCTGAATAAATCTGTGAGTTGTTCCCACATGAGTTGTGAAAGAAGGATTCTTTGAGTCCAGATTGTGGTTATATTTGTCCATTCTGTTTGTCTTACCTCTCCGTATATCTATTTCCACTTTTGAAGGATATTATGGTGTACCACCATGCTAGTCCGATTCCACGCTGGTACCCAGTTGAAATCGTGTGAGGGAGTGTAACCGTTTCAAAAGTTTTAGAAAATTCATTATAAATTCGATTAATTTTTTTTTAAATAAAACTGCTAACCCCATCTATCTGCCAGGTACTTGTAGCCGACTCAAGGATTCTACTGTAATTCCAAATATATCCGTTAGATGAGAACGTTCATTAACTTGTCACTCGTCTCAATCCTTAGCGGAAACGACGAATATCTTTCTTTTTTCTTTAAACGTCAAACGTTAAGACGTGATATTGTTTATGTGTGGTCTCCTATAAGTTAGACCGAAAAATCCTTTTCTTGTCTATATTTTCAGATAAATATTTATTTTTAGACCCTTATTGGAGAGGCTAGAATGTCGATAGGTCTCTAATACATGTCTCGAGATAACATTGATATGGAGTTAATATAATCCTAGCCCAGTAACAGTATCTCTTTATGGTGTGATATATTGATATAAAATAATAGATAGAAACAATTTCTTCATGGTTACCAGCTACTGGATAATTCAGGTTATACCAATTTTTATTATGTCTTTTCTTCTATCAAGAAAGCAGAAAATATTTATGAACTTGAAGAAAGAAAATATAGTGAATTGTTTTAATTTTATTTAAAAGTTTAATTCCTCTATTATTCCTAGTTGATAAATAACTATATTATTTTGAATGTAAACAAATTTCGAAATTTGGGGTTAATATATAAATTCGTCATGGAGCGAATGATAGTTGAAGGTAACGTAGCGGGTAAAAGATATAGAGGAAGATCTCCAGTACGATGGTCGGACAAAATTATACACACAATTATCCGACATATCCGCATCATTAGCCGAATAGGTTGGGTAATTGTGCGCGTTATACTTATTGAAAATTTTTCCCCTCAGTGTTCTACTGTTCTACTATTTATTGAATGCGGTATATCTTCAAAAAAGTTGAAAACTGAAATGTTTTTAGCTTTTGCAATATCCAGAATGAGCCTTAGGTGCGCACCAATAGCCGACTCTTTCCTACCTGTATCAAAGGGTGCCGGAAAAATGTCTTTTTATACGCTAATCTCTGGTCTATAAAGTCGGTTGTGTTGTACATATTCAGGATCAGGAGTCCTTAATGTTTAAGTTAATTAAGCATTTCTATGTATTTTCTGCAGAACATATATTTTTGCAATATATTAACTTTTAAAATATACTGTATGTAGTATTACATAAAACATTGGCTATTTTTGAAAGAGGTAACCAAACTATACAGAAAAAAACCATATTCTAATATAAACCGTAAATATGGTCGATATAATGTTAGAGATGGTTTTATCTTTAATCCCCACTATGTTTTACAACTATTTTTAAAAATTTTAGTCTTTTGTGACTTTTTTGCAGAATTGCAGAAAAAGTATCTATACACCATTCACAAAAAAGTCTTTTTCTCTAAAATTTTGAACATTTAAAAAGCTTTATGTTATATTCTAATGTATTTTCATCAAAACACTTTCATTGGGGAGACTCCCCAACTATACGTTTCTAATAAAATTTTATTTGCACCTCTTCACTACCATCACTTACAACTGCATTTCATTTAATTCGGCTCACATTACTTCCCATTCTTCGTTTTATAGGTACCTCTTTTAACGTAACTTAATAATAAACTTTTTTAATTTCCGCAGCAACTTTGTTGCAC